CTTTTGTGATTCCATATGAATTTTACTATGATTTGTTCTAGTTCTGTGAAATATGTCCTGGTTAATTTGATAGGGATTGCATTATATCTGTAGATTGCCTTGGGTAGTGTGACCATTTTAACAATATTGATTCCTTTAATCCAGGAGCATGGGATATCTTCCCATTTTTTAAAGTCTTCTTTAATTTCCTTAAATCAGTGTTTTATAGTTTTCTGTGTATAAGTCTTTCACCTCCTTGGTTAGATTTACCAATAAATACCAAAATAGTTATTTTATTACTTTGGGTGCTATTTTAAAGGAGATTGTTTCTTTACTTTCTTTTTTCCATTTATTCATCATTAGTATAAAGAAATGTAACTGATTTTTGAACGTTAATCTTGTAACCTGCTACCTTGCTGAATTCTTCAATTAGTTCTAGTAGTTTTTGTGTGGATCTTTTAGGTTTTTCTATATATAGTATCATGTCATCTGCATATAGTGACACTTTTACCTCTTCTTTTCCAGTTTGGATCCCTTATATTTCTCTCTCTTGCCTGATTGCTGTGGCTAGGACTTCCAAGACTATGTTGAATGGGAGTGGTGAGAGTGGGTAGCCTTGTCTTGTCCCAGATTTTAGTGGGAAGCTTTTGAGTTTTTCACCGTTGAGTACCATGAAATAAAGCAATTTCTTAACTGTCTTTGGTTTGCCGGTCTGCAGCCACATGTCTAAACCCTCACAACTTTTATTTTAACAAGGCTGAAGAGACTATTTATTTATTTACAGTCTTATGCTCTTTACTGGTTTAAAATAAAAAGAAATTAAAGTTAAAGTATGGAGGACACTGAACAATTAAAAATTATTGATAAAAATTATGTTTCCATTATAAAATAAATACATAATGAACGGTTTTAGTAAAACCTTTGTCTCAAATAGCAAAATGAAAACACATTCTTATGGCTTATATTTTGTATTCTTTATTTAATATGCTGGAAACCAGTTGTTATGTGGCATTTTTACATGAAATTTGTGTTCTTTGTAATGCTTTTGTTCACTGGAGTAAAGTTACTTTAAAGAAAAGTAGCTTCCTCAATTGACAGAATTTTAAAATAGGAATTTTATTACCTTTTTCTTTATTTACTAATGTTAATGATTTTATCCCTACTTGAAATTTTTGTACATATTGTGATTGATGAGTAACAGTGAAAGATAGTATCCACCCTGTCTTTCTTCAGAAAGTCCTATGATGGTCTTATTTATGTGTTGCAAATTGCCTTAGCTTTGCATTTTAGCACCACCTGGTGGACAAAATATCATTTTTCCTCCACAGTTTAAAATAGCTCCATCACACTCTCTCCAATTATGACATATCTTAACAGATATTTGATTGTAAAAATATTTAACCTTAAGGATAATTGTAAACAAAATAAAGTAAAGAGATCTGAGATATTTCCTAAGTACTATACTATTGCCAAGTTAAATGCCTGTTTTTTTTAATTTCATGAATATATAGCATGCTTTTGAATAGCGTGTTTTTTAATATATGCAAAAATGTGAGTATTGCTGACAACTTAATTATTTATCATTTATAGTTTTTCTCAATAAAGAATTAAATAAGACCAGGAAGTTTTCTGTACCTTAGGAGCAGCTATAGCTAAAATTAGATTGTCTACCAAAAATGCAGGGCAAGCACTTTGTAAACGCTTTCCAAAGAATTTTCATACTACACATTCTTATTGTGTTAATATTTTACGTATAATTCAAATTAAAACTAGTGTTTTAACCATTGCTCCTCTAAAGTAGGCCATTTTCAATGCTCATTCTCCTACTTGTCTTTAAAATCCAGTTGTAGTCTTTTATGTGTAAGTTCTTAGTATTTAATAGTTTAAAAAGTTTTCCAGAAGTTAAATTTGATAATATTTTTGAACGAAAGACACAAGTTTATTTAAAGCTAGTTTTGAGAATTTTAAGCATGTCAATCTTTGTATAGCCCTACACTTCCATGAAATACAGTGAATTTTTTTTTCTTATGAAATACAGTGATGGAGAAAATACACCCTCAAATTCCACTCTGTTCCTTTGTCACACGCTACTTATCTATTCGCTGGCAAAACGGGAGGGGTCTCTAGATTTGAATTGTGTGACATTCAAAGGCTTAGTAGCTAAATAAGACCTGTTGATATTTAAGTAGGAAATATGTTCTAACCACATACTTGTTGCATGCCATTTAAGATAAAATTATAATAATCTTCATTAAGACATGCATCTTGAACTGAAGTTGTTTACTTTGTTACTTCAAGGAAACACTTAAAAATCTCTCTCTCTCTTTTTTCTCTTTTTTCTGAAGGTCTTGGATGGTACACTGTAAACTCAGCGTATGGAGATACCATTATTATGCCTTGCCGACTCGATGTACCTCAGAATCTCATGTTTGGCAAATGGAAATATGTAAGTGTGACCTACCTTGGACTTGGTTGATTGCCTCTAGTGTTTGAGAGAAAATTCCTTCTGTGAGTAAATGTGAATTTCAAATGAACATAATGGCAATATTCAACTGTGGGTATAAATGTAGGAAGGTAGAAATAATGTGTTGAATATGCCAAAAGAATAATTCCTGAGTCTTGCATAGCAAAGGCTATTTTAAAGTAAAGCCAACAAACACGTAATTCTTAGATCATATTAGTCTGCAGTATTCACGCTGAAGTGTTCAAGGCAGAAGAAAAGGTGGAGTTCCAGAGCAGAATTTGTGGAAGATAGGACAGAACTTGGGGAAAGACAGCAGCCTTTCTGTACGTACTTGTTTTGTTTGGTTTGGTGTGGTTACTGCAGAGGTAAGATGCACAGTAGCCAGATCACCCAAATGCTCACTCAGAATCAGTCACCTGCATTAGAAGCCTGTTTCTGGTACTTGGTCTTAGAACTGAGTTGATATGGTTGGTCCTTTTTAAATTTAACACTGCTTATTTTATTCATTTCTTGCAGATAACAAAATCATTTTCTCAGGTAGCAAGGTAGAGATGGGTCTGGAAATGGAGGGTAATATCGCAGTAGGTGAGATGGAAAGGCTAGGTAGCTCTGACTGATAAAATATCCTAATTCAATTGCCAAAACCAACAAAAGGTGTCTGTGTGGCACAATTTTCAAGAGACTCCCAATAGTTTGCAAGATTAAAGCCGACATGTTTCACGGAACACAATTGGCACATTTTCCCTACTTCCTTGAAATGTTAAAAGGTATTTGAATAGGAAAATATTTGATGGTCAAATAATTTTTCAGAAGTATTTTTATTGCAATACTTCTCAGAGCCTTTGCTATATTAAGATACATTATGAATTGTCTGAATTTGGCACATTTCTTAGGTTTATTGAACCACACCATTTTTTCCACTCAGATACCTGCAGGAATGAATTTTCTGCAGAATAGAAATGTGCATAAGTTAGACCCTAAGGGTGGTATGACACGGTACTTTAAAATAGGGGTCTGGCTGGAGTCAGTCTGACAAGTTCTACCGTGTACTCTCTGTGGGCTTCTGGACAAGTAGATTAATCCCCATTTGATCAAGGATAAAGTGAGAATGATGATGGTCTTCCTTACACTGTTTTGAGGGTTACATGCAGTGACTCTTATCAGAATACTTCCCTGGTTCTTGGCACATGGTAATTGTGTGAAGAGGGTAAGCTATTAGGATGGTGGGGCTGCTAAGCTCTAGAGAGGCAGCTGGAAGCAGGAGGAGGAGAGGCCGCAAGCACCGTCTGTGCTCTCCCCCCCGTCATCCGGCTCACAGCAGGTAATTCTGAGCTATTTCTGGTTCCTGATAAAGATGGGAAAATGAAGGTGAGGCCTATGTGGACGAAGTCTGTCTGTACCCCTAAAATTCCAAAGGTCTGGGAGACTACCATCTAATTCACCCTGGAGTCAAACTTAGTGCCTAGAAAAATGGAATACAGGTGGTGAAAAACTTCTGTGATCATAGACGTTCCCAATGATAGCCCAGGGAACAGTTTTCACCCAAAGTGAAGTGGCACAATGGCAGTGGAAACTAGCAATAGTTGCCATTTTCAAATCGTTACTGAAACAGGAAGCTTCAGGAATAAACTGATGAGATACATGTGAGGTACCACATGCTCTAGAAGCAGTCTGGATTTGCAGACACAGTGCACAACCTCTAACTGGTTGTAACCTGAGACAGAGGGCAGATTTGAAAGGAGTGAAAGGGAGCAAACACTGAGGTAAGATGGATTCGTTTCTCCCCTACTGCACGGTAACCTCCCCACGAATGGAGATCACAGCTCCCTGTGCAGCCCTGCCCACTCTACTCCCACCACCTCCTCACCAGCACCGGCTTCTCTCTTGCTGGTACAGAAGAGGCGTCTCTGTCGAGAGTGATATAGTGCAGTATTAACGGAGCCAGGCTGTGAAGCTCCAGTCTTGGTGCTGCTGAGATACACTAGCTGGGGCCTTAGACCAGCTATTTAACCAGCCTCTGCCTCCATTGTCTAATCTGTAAATGGAGCCAATGTTGTAAGTCTAGTTTACAGGGTTGTTGTGAGTATTACATCCATTAATGCATGGGAAGCCCAAAGAAAGTACCTGGTGTATAGTTACTAATTAATAGCTATTAAAGTTTGATGACTTATTTCTTGCATAAGTGAATAAATATGGAAATATAAGGTACTGGTCTAACATATTTCTCTTAATGAAGGAATGATGTAGGGCAAGGATTTGCGTTGTAAACCTGTGACAAAATCAAAAGGTTTAATGAGAATAGTATTGATATATTCAGATAGTCAACCAACAAGAACTCTTGGACTCCAAGGTTAACTTAGTCATTGTCTTAGCATGGGCTGCTAGAGCAAAATGCCACGGACCGTGCGGCTTAAACAACAGACACTTACTTCTTGTGGTTCTGGAGGCTGGCACTGGCAGATTCCGCTCTTGGTGGGGGCCCCCTTCCTGATTTGTAGAGAGCTGTCCTTTGCTGTGTGTTCACATGACCTCTTTGTGCTCTCATGGAGAGAGAACGAGCGAGAGCTAATGTCTTTTCCTCTTCTTATAAGGGCACTGATCTCATCATGAGGGCACCATCTCCGTGACCTCATCTAAACCTAACTACCTTGCAAAGGCCCTGCCTCCAAATACCATCACAGTGGGGATTAGGACCTAGACATATAAATTTGGGGCAGGACACAAATATTTACTCCATAACAGTATAAATATTAATATTTTTTAAAAATATTACCCCCATAGCACCTTGGAATTTGTCATGCACTTTAAAACATTTTATCAACAAAGGCCTTGCAAAGCATATAGAAGACAGATTGGCCCTTATTTTAGGTTATTGCTTATTAGGTAAGAGAATGTTTGTGGGAGCAGGGGAAGAAATGAAGTCTGTATCTCAGTGCTCTGGCATAATTGTGTATGCCAGATTATGTTTTCTTTTGGAATGAGTTTTTATATAAAGCCCTTTGAGCTAACTTTTATGACTCAGGTAGGAAAACTATGGATTTTAGTGATTAATCTGATTCTGTTCCTTAATGGACATGATCGTTTCACAAGGGCAAATACTGTTCCTCCATGAAGACTCGTTAAACTGTGTTATGTGTAAAGGTCAGCTCTGTCAATTCTGGCTAAAACTGAGAGGTGTGGATGTTTAAAGTATGCAGATCAAAGTAATGAACATGCAGAATATAATTGCCCAAGATTTTTAAATGAGTGTTTGCAGCTCAAGTGTGTGCTTGCTGTGATAGTTAGCTGAAAGTCATTTTGTAACATAACACTAATAGGTTTGTTTTCATCCATTTTCTTCTTTCATATCAGACATAAGGCCAGCCCTTGTCAGTTTCAAAACAGTTACTAATTCTGTCCTCCAGATGCGAGAAAAGCTCAGATTCCTAAAGCTCTATCCTCTCATTTTCTTATATTTCAGTTGATGCCAGTAAAAGAACTTACGGCTTCTCCTCTTGTGAAGAGTAGTTTTCTCTTCCAAAGATTTATGGGAGGCTCATATCCGAAATTCTTCTTCTTGGGCAGAACTACAAATATTGGTGGAATAATATGGCCAAGGAAATTTTGTTGTTCTGGTTGTCATCCTGAGACATCTGAATACACCTGTTTTTAAAAATGTATTATTATTTTAATCTTTAGGAAAAGCCAGATGGCTCCCCAGTATTTATTGCCTTCAGGTCCTCGACGAAGAAGAGTGTACAGTATGATGATGTACCAGAATACAAAGACAGATTGAGCCTCTATGAAAACTACACCTTGTCGATCAGCGACGCAAGGATCGGTGATGAAAAGAGATTTGTGTGCATGCTAGTGACGGAAGACAACGTGTTTGAGGCCCCTGCAGTGGTCAAGGTGTTCAGTAAGTAGCCCGCAGTGCAGCTGCTAAGCAGGGTTGACGACTGGTGCTAGGAAATGTTCTTTAGAAAGAAGGCTGTGAACCCTGTGGTGTCTCCACAGCAGGCATCTATGTGAGAGGACTTCTAGAGATCTTCCTTCTGCTCGTGCATGCTGTCAGCGAGGAAAACAAAAATCCTTGAAATTCGAATAGGAGCTTTGCAGTGAGGAACTATAAGAATATTCTATCATTTTGTCGGGTGAAATTTCCTGTGATATGAAGTACTACTAAATGAAACCTGGCCTGTGATACTTACTTTCACTGACATGCACAAATAAATGTTCTGTGATATATGTATACACAAACACACACACACAGAGATACATGATATATACACATAATCATACATATCATGCCTACATATACATGTACATTAGGCTGAACCATACATTGTCTTTTGATATATAAAAATAGCAAAATACAAGCGAAATATATAAGCCTTCTACATATATATGGACACACACACATACACACACACACACACACACACACACACACATCCTGACCTTTAATGCTTAATGTTTGCTGATTTACTTCTTGAAAGTGTTCCGGTAGTTTAGAAAATTGCCCTGAAATAAAGAAGTTCTCCACACGCTGAGTGTGTATGTGAAATACATCAAGAGGAAAAAACAGAGTAGGGGTAGAAGAGAAGGTTGTAGGAGAAACTTGGAGTAATTACTGCAAGTTGCTTTGCCTAATGATAATACCTAGTTAATGTTAGTGTGCAAATGGCTATGCAGATGAATGACTTGAGAAGTTCCAATGAAAACACTTCATCTTTTAATAGTCAAATAAAGAGTCCCACCCTCATTACATCATTGTATCTTAGAAATTAGAAGGAGAAAAATAGGTCTCAAAAGTTTTAGAATGCTTGTCTTTTTTAATTGGGGAAGAAGACCTCGATTTTCAGTTTTCCCCTCTGCTTTCTGATAACTTGACAGCACCTAGAAATTATTAAAATAAACAGGGAAGAAAGAAACCCAGAGGGCCTTACTGCTCCAGCCAGTAACTGGATTTTTCCTGTTTCTCTTGTAATTGCCTATGCAGCTAACTGGGACGGTCCCTTAAGCATTTATATAGACTTCAAAGCTCCTGTGGGCTCCTGACAAGGATTCAAAGAGTGCTTATACTATCAAAGGAACCTTTGTTCTCCAGAAGAACCTTGTAAAAGCATATTACACGTTTCAGTTGATTAGCTTTCAGCTTAGAAGGCACCTTCCAGAAGCCATCCACTCTTCTCAATCATTTTATGAATCAAACTAAGTACCAGGGTTTTCCCGGTCATGTCCCATCCCACTGAACACACCAGATAATTTGCATCCTGTATTTGCCAATGTCCCATGTACTTTTTCCCTTTCTTTTCTTTTGTTTCACTTTGATGCTATTAGGAAGATGGATGATGCACTGCTAGAAACACTTTTTCTAAAGAGAGCAACCAAAATTTTTTAATGAGGCCGTGACGTCATAAATAGAAGTATACAACAGGAACGTACTGAGGTACAGAGATTAAGTCACAGCACTCTAAAGGTTATGTGTATTGATTTGTCACTTTCAGTTTTCTCTTGTTACTGTGTTAAAATTACCAAATATCAAGGCAGTGTACAGGAAAGTTGAGAAAATCCGGGTTGTTCCATTTAGAAGAAACATTTGTGACAATTTTCAAAATGTAAGTTTTTAAAATACCATACTGAACAAAAATTCAGTTGGCTGAATTCAGTTAAATCTGTCAGCTGTTTCAGAGTACAGAGGATTTCTATGATTGTGAAAACAAACTCACACCCTGCATACTATCAGCACCCCCTACCCTCTTCTTTCTTGAATGTCATTGAAAACGAAGTGATTCTCAGAAATGGAATTTGCATTCCAGGCTCTGAGCCAGGGATAATTTAAATAGACAAGTTACACACTAATGAAAATAGGGTTTTATCCTGGAAACTGTGGGACCCTCCAAGTCCAGTTAGATGAACAGCACAGCTCACGATAAAGGGCGTGTTTGCAAGAGCGTATAGGGGCTTTGCTTTTTCAAACATCATGAATTTACTTTGGTCACTTTTAGTGAAGCAAACAGCAGCTGTGACATGGAGGCTTCGTTCCCTGCATGTACATACTGCCGTCACTTAAGAGTTACTAGGCTCGTCAATCAATCCTCTGTCTCCTCCTGTCGAGTCACCTAGCAACAGGCACTGTGTACCGCAAAACAAGTACGGTTAAGGAGAGCTAATCGCAGATCAGCGTGTGGCAGAATACCCTCCTCATGAGCAAAGTCACACTGCTTCTATTCAAACTAGAGGCCATGACTGATGGCCTTATTACCTCCAGTGTAGGTTTGTTTATTTGGCTTTAAGCTATACCTCAGTTAAAAGGAATCAGGTCCATAAAGCAGCCCGACTCCAAAAATAAGTCACATGCTTTGTCACCAACATGGCTTTTTTTTTTTTTTTTTGGTAGTTGATTGGCATCAAAATCAAACTATTTGCTGTCTGCATTTAATGCACATTTGAAGTTAATAAAACCATCCCATGGCAAGAGAACTTTAAAAGTTCCCAGAGATTCATTCCATTGATGGTGCAAAAGTCTTAGAAGTCAAATAGATTGACTTAGAACTAAATGGCAGTCAGTGATATAAGTGGAAAAAAAATCACTGAACTGGTCATTCAGGAGATCTGGCTCTGTGAGATCCGCTGCTAATTCTGACCTTGGGTGAGTGGTGTCACCAGTCTGGGGCTGCAGTTCCCCCTCATCAGTAAATGAGTGCTTTGATTAGGCGGTGGTTTCCCCACTCTGTTCCAAGGATCCTCCTGACAAGCTAATGAAGAGGGCTGAGCGGGGTGAGGACCTGCTTCTACTCAATTAGCTAGAATTCTACCCACTGAATATTTCATGATATTTTGTTCAGGAGAAAGACAAACAAACAAAAAGGAGATGGACTCTAGCTCTAAAAAAATAGCATTTGCCAACCACAGTGCAACATAATTATCTGCTTGGGTGTCTGTGGTATTAAAGGAAGGCTGTTGCCATGACTTGGAGCCTACTGTACACCTGAACCAACCAGCTCTGCTCTCAGTGCTCTGGTTGGCTTCACCCAGTTATTTCAGAGCTGTCATCTGGAGACTGTTCTCATTGATTTATCAGAACTGAGGATCCCTTCTCCCACACTCCCTGTGAAAGTTATTCAACTTCCAACTGCAGGTAATTTTTTTTTTTGGAATAAAGTAAGCAGAAAGTAAATTTACTACTTAACCAATGGGATCTGCACTGTATATTTTATTTCGATTCTTTAAATATAAAAAAATACCTTTTCCCATCTCATGAGGACAATAAACTATGATTTCACTCTCACAGTGGTTTACTTAAAGTACATCACGAGGTGATTGCTGACAAAGTAACGAGAGGACCCCTCTGACTCAATGCACAGTGCACCTGTGCTTTCTTGCTCTTCTCCCGTGTCAAACAGCCGTCCTCTGCATGGTTTTTGATAATAACTTTAGTACATTGTGGGTGATATAGAGCAGTTTTGCATTCATCCCTCCATCTTCACCTGGCTGTGAAACCCTTGACAAAATTATTTTAATAATGCAAATAAATTTGGAGCGTGACTTTTGCTTTCAATTCTGCACTTGGTTATGAATCCTTGAATCATATTAAGACACAATTCACGAAGTTTTTTTTAAAACACTTTGAATCAATATGCAATTTTGCTAAAATAGTATGTGTCCTCTTTTATTGTCCTCTAACACTCATTGATTGTTACAAGCTAGTATGAGAAAATTACATACAAAGTATGTATTTAATATAGAGGGTTTGAGACGAAAGTTTAAGGAGAAAATATCTCAAGAGAAATGCAATAGATATTACCATTACTTCCACAGTGCCTGCTATGACTCTTTTCTAAATAGAAAAATGAATAACACTACAAAGAGGACTAAATTTTCAGCATCTTTTCATCAGGTTTCCTTGGGTTTGCTGCAGTTTTGTTTTATTGAAATAAGAATAAATTTTAGGAAGCATTTATGGAAACAAGGCACATGCGGCCATGTGGAAAGGACCAACAATTGTAACACATCAGTATTTATGATTCTATGTGCATTGATAAAACATCACAGGGTTTGCAAATCAAAAAAGAGGAATATATTCTACATTAGAGGAAGTGAGTATGTGTCCAACTGAGTTGATATCTGATTTTGGTGAACTAGAAATTAGTGCAACTTAACAAAACTGCTCACCCACACTTTGTGTTAAGAGTGTGATTTGGAAGGTTTTTCAAATCTCTCTATATATTCCAGACATAGATATTACTGAAGAAGAAACAAAAAAACTATTTTTTTCTTGTTCATCTTCATTCTTGATTAATCACATACATTAATTTAATATCTTACCTCTCCTCGGTTCTCTTGGAGGTGTCACTGAATAACTGATTTTAGTTCCCAGAGAACTTTGGTCACTAAAGATTTTCATTCTGTTTAAATCTTTTGAATGCAGTCCTCTCTCAAATGTATTAGGCATTTGCCATAAAACATTGAATGCTGAAGAATTCTTAAAAGAATGTAATGTTTTATCAGTAACTCAGAGTTGTAATAATGAACATTAATGTGAAGTTATATTAAAATAGTGGTAAATAACATCAACACTTTCTGATATTTAGAAGGCTTTAGTCCTCCACCATAAGCTTCCCAGAAGTTGCTACTTATTTTGAGTATTTTGTCAGTTTTCTTTCTAATTTCTTGGTCACATTTCTAATAATCAGATAGCCAGGTGTCACTTCTTGTTTGTCTTAATGTAATTGTCTATGTTATGCCTATTTTTTATATTTCTTTTTTCCATTTTTAAAATCTTTCTTATGTTTTCTTTCTAATCTGTGTGTTTAGAATATAGATAACTGCTCTTTAGAGACTGTATTAAGAGAATCATATTTCTAGAATTAATAGTCAATAGGCACTCCAATAATTAAAGTGCGAGTTCAACACAAAGGCAGATTCACTATTATTATTCATTATTCTGATTTCTAATATAAAATAACTGCACAGGAGAAAGTAACTCTGGATGTTAACCTGAAGAAGTTTACATTATTTTTGCATACAGGTTAATGATACCCATTTTGCTGTTCCAAAAACATTTTGTCTTCATCTTTGTTTCCCTGATGGTCTGGGTAGTTAACATGTCTGATAACTGAATTTCAAATTGAGTAAAATTATATAAAAGCCAATTTAGTTTGATAATCAAAATTAAAAGTATGGAGACAGTAGACAATAAGACTATGAAAGAAAGAATAGCTGATTGTTTTTATTTGCCTATTTGTTTGAGAATGGAATAGTTCTCCATGAGACTCACAGAAATCAGTGACAATGAGGCAATATCCATTTTCTATAGACTAATTGTTAAAGCTAATTAAAAAGTAAAAAAAAAATCCATCAATGATAGATAACAAGTAGCCAAGAATAAAATAAGTTAGAATAAGTTTAAATGCTACCTTGTTGCTGCAATTTGTAATCAGTTTTTCCTGAAGCCTTTACTAGAATTTGTACTTACAGAACTTCTTATGTTTAAAATGCTTCTGTCCATTATCTCAGGTTCCAAATTTGAAAGATTTCCTCACATTTATAGATTCATGATGTAAGTTCACTTAAAAGGTTAAGTTTGAGATACCTAGGAGGCTTGGGCTCCTACATCCCTTAACTACTCTGTGTTTCCTATGATTTTAGAGCAGTGATTCTTAAACTCCACTGTGTCCAAGAATCCCCAATGGAACTTGTTTTTAAAAAGTAGATTTACAGGATTTTCCCCAGATATTCTGATTCAGTAGGCCAGGTAGGACTCAGAAATAATTTTAAATAAGCACCCCTGTGATTCGGTTTTATGTGGATTCAGGTCTTCATCTGGGAGTTGGAAATTGTTAAGTAGAAAGTGCACATGGTAATCATTTGCAGATAATACATCCTCTTGAGTACATTAACCTCTGTTTACTGTAAAACCCATGCACACTGTTTATAAAGCATCCATAAAACATTACCAATATTTTATTCAAAGGAGTAATAAGCATTTAAAATAGTATTTAACTTAATAAAACAAATATTTGAAAGGGGTAGACTAATCAGATTTCTTAACTATAGATTATATGGGAAATCTGTTCTTTATTTTGTTGTTGATTTTTCTACTCTAAGTAAGTGAATTATTTTTCTATGAACCAAATCACAAACATCCATTTTCTTCTTCCACGGGTACTTAAAATCTTTCTCTACTTAACTTTAGAGCAACCATCTAAACCTGAAATTGTAAGCAAAGCCCCATTTCTCGAAACAGAGCAGCTGAAAAAGGTAAGAACTTGTTTTGATTAATAACCTTTACTTAGCCTGGTGTTGAATGCTTTCTCCTGGCCTCAGATGCCAGGACAAATTTGATAGACTTTGCCCTGTGGAGTTGACAGTGTTCCAGGTGCCAGTCAGAAAGTCTGCACAAGGTAGAGTGATGGCATAGACAAAGGTGTTGTCATTTCTGAAGGGAGAGGCGGGAGGAAAGAGTGAAAAAGGCATAGGTCTTTCTTGTTTGAATGAACTGAATAACAGATGAGTAGATTCTCTCTAGACCCAAGGTAGAAAGGGCTTTCCAACAATATGAAATAATTTGATGTAAAAGAAAATGGCATTTGGGAAACATTCCATTATTTGCATTGCTGGATTTGGGGGTGTTCAGCCAGTGGGCAAGTGAGCGCAGTAAGAGATAAATCTGGAGAGTTAAAGAAAGGCTGGATTATGACAAACCGTCTGTCATATGTAATGTGTGGTCTTACTCTTATGGACAAATTAAACTACTGAAAAGTTGAAGTAAAGGGATAAGGTTAGATTTGAACAATCACAGTAGCAGAGGTTTGAAGGAAGTCTATATTGAAGGAGGGATAAAACTGGAGTCCTATACAGGAGCACATCCCTTGATTAATCATCTTGTTTTCACTAGCTAAAATACCCAAATTTTCCTCGGTTGGGAGAAAAGGCAGATTCAGAGTTCTTTGAATCAGATTAAATTTGACTGCATAATATTATTTGATAAACACTAACAATTAAAAACACCTGTGAAGGAAAGTGGTGGGTACTATAGAGCGTGGTAAGTCTGTGTTGTCTGAAATATACACAGCATGAAGCTGGAGAAGCAGCCCCATTTTAACACCATTAATGATTCTTGCATACACAGATTCGCAGACCAAGGTAATAGCCAATGTTAATGTAGTTATGTTATTTAGTTAATGTTAAAAACAAATACTGTTGAAATGAATTTGGTAATGCTTTTAAATGAATGTGACTTTATTTATGGTGGCAGCATCTATTGCATCTGTTTTAAAATGGACAAGACCATGATTTTAAGTACAAGACATTGTTTTTATACAAGAGTCTTTAGTCAGTGCTTGGAAAATGAATGGATCAGGGAACCACTGGAATAACTGCATCACTTGAGGAGCCTGGGGCTTTGAAATGGACAACCCCTGATGGAACCAAAGTTGTAATATTATCTCTTTATTTTGCAGTTGGGTGAGTGCATTTCAAAAGACAGTTATCCAGATGGCAACATCACGTGGTACAGGAATGGAAAAGTGCTGCAACCCGTTGAAGGAGGTGAGCAGGAAGTGGGCAATAAACTCAGATGACCTGTTTTGACTTTCTCTTGTCTAAGCATTCCTTAGACTATCCTGAGTCTAAATGTGTGGCCCTCTTTTGATCTATGACTCTATACTTTGTTACTTTAAGTATCCATTAAATCATTAAAGGATTGAAAAAAAAAACACCGTTTTAGACCTTGTGCAGAAGAATCAAGAGCAGAGCAAATTATTTCTATATATGGTATGTTCTAGAAGTTAATTAAAGTGAGTGAGAGGTAGAATTCCAGGATTCTATTTCTGTCCATGTCTCTGATTCATGCTTTTGAAAAGACATCTACCTCACTACATGTCAATTTTCCCTCCTGTTAAATACAGTAAGGACAAAACCACTTCTCAAAGTTGTTGTGACATTTCATTAAGGGCTGTGATTTTCCGATGAAAGGTCCTACCGTTAGTGTTCTTTATTTTCTTCAGCGGCGGTCATAATTTTTAAAAAGCAAATGGACCCAGTAACTCAGCTCTATACCATGACTTCATCTCTGGAATACAAGGCAACCAAGGCTGACATACAAATGCCATTCACCTGCTCTGTGACATATTATGGACCGACTGGCCAGAAAACAGTTTACTCTGATCAAGCAGTCTTTGATATTTACTGTAAGTAACTCAATATATAATCATGCAATTTTAATGTATTAGAAAAAAATATTCAAATGCTATTTTAAGTCCTAATCCAAAAGCTCTTTGGAATCTACTTCCAAACACCCATCCCTATTCCATGGTACCCAAATAATCTCTTCCTCTGCAAGACCTATAGAAAAAATACCTACCCAACTTATATATTTCACTCTCTACTTTGCTATTTATAATCATCTCTTCTGTATTCCTCTAGACACTAAGTTCCTTAAACACAAGATTTCTAACTTAGTCTGATTTCTTCTGGTGGTCCTCAGCCCTGGCATGTAGCCATGGATTTTGTAGGAGTCTAAAATGCCATCTGATGGTTTTCTGAATGAATGACAGATGAATAGAGGCTTATGACTGGATGGTTTTCTAGATATAGGATTTCCATTTTAATAAACAGATTTATTTAATAATGAGATCAATTCCATAAGTTAAATAGAATGTTGAATTCCAACATGTTTTGATTAACTTTATTTCATAGGCTTGAAACATAGAATATTAGATGACAGAGGAACTTTCTTGATCATCTGATCTAACTCCATTATTTTACTTAGCAGTAAAGTGAGACCTAGAGACTTGCCCTAAATTAGCTGCAGCAAGCGGATTAGAGTCCTTTTCTCCAATGCTATGCTCTTTCCTGTAAGACAGGAGGCAAGATAACAAAATGACTAAGAGCAAAGATGCTGGCAACTCAGTCCCAGTGCTGTCTGTTGCTATGTGTTTCTAGAAAAGAATCTTAACTCCTCTTGGTCTCAGTTTTCTTATTTTGAAATAGGAAAAATGTAATACTTAACTCATGATGTTGTTATGGAGATTAAGTGAAATAAAAAATCTAAAATAGCACAACATATAGCACATTAAATGCTTGTTATTAAGTACTATTGTCATTACTATTATATAATCACTATTACTCCATAAACAGATAACTAGAGATATCTTTTGGGGAAAGATACAAGGAAATTTTATTATTATTAGTTTTTAATGAATCAAAAATTCTCACAGTCCTGCCATATGTTGTAGAATGACCCAGTACTTCTACATCTATTTGAGAGAAAGAATAGAAATGCCCATTGAGCCTTCAAAGGGTTTTATCTCAGCTACATATCTACTTTGGTTCCATAAAGTACAGAGCCTATGTAAGAGGAAAACTGAAATTCCATTTGCCCTAACAATCATGGGTTGTTTTGTCTTACACGTTGTCAATAAGTTTCAACTTGATTTAAAAGCAAGGATTTAGAGGATTTCATCATGTACAGCTTATCTAAAATCAAACTATTATTTCTGTATGTGAAAGCAGAATCCTGTCTGTTCAAAAATATTCAGTTGAAAATAAACTATTCTGGTGTACGTACAGGAGTACAAGATAGGAAAGAACATCAAGATGAGTGAAAAGGATTGGGAAACTGGCTTAAGGAAGAATGAGAATGTATGTGAGCATCAGACATGGGGAGACAGACAGTTGGAAGTGTCCTTGGATGAATAAGAAAGAAATGATTTTCCTGTGACTGGCTGTGTAGGGCACATTTGGCACAGCTTTTGAGAAGGCACAATGTATGTAGTGCTAGGCTTCATGACAGAGACCTAAAAGTGTTTAAGACATAGTCTGACATTTAAGGGGTTTATTATTCCAATAGAGAAGTAAGACACACGTATCAGAAGGAAATTGTCACTGCATGGTTGCAAGTGGTAGGTGCCACAGGCACTCAGTGAACAGTCCTAAAAACTCAGGTGTCCAAGGACAGTGACTCCCAGACTTCAGTGTGTGTGAGACTCACCTGGAGGACATGTTAGAACACAGATTACTGGACCCAGCTCTAAGTGTTCTCATACAGTAGGTGTGGGGAGGGGCCCAATACTTTGCATTTATACCAGGTTCCTTGATGATGCTAATGCTGATCATCTGAGGACCACGCTTGGAGAACCACTGTCCTAGGATGACTTCAGAGAAGAGAAGGAGGAGCTAAATGGAAAGTACATTCAAGAAGAAGGAATTTGATCAGTTCATCTTGGGAAAGCCTGAAAAAGATGCACTGGTCCACTCCTCCCTTACCATATCCAATCAGTAATGAAGTTGTTTAGAATCTACCACTTCCACCACTGTGTTGACCTGATTCTGCCTTCTGACCCTGCCTGAGATTATGCCACCATTCCTCATGGCCAGTATTTTTGCAGCAATTTCCGAAAGAGTATTCCTGTCTGTTCACACCAAACTGCCCTGCCAGCTGTTGCTAGAAACATCTTTCTAAAGCACAGATGTGAACATGTTACTGCTGTGATCAAAACTCATCAGTGACTCCCCAGATATCTCAGGTTTATCTTTACATTTCCGATTTCAATATGCCTTGAGTCCGCTGTAGCCGTGGTCCCGACCAGTCCCAGCCTTCATCCCTTCAGTGCCTTCTATAGTCTGTCCTGGTTCCAGGGTCCTCCTGTAGAATACGATGTACGTGCCTGGCCATGTCCTGTCACTGTCTTACCTTTATTATCCAGCAAATGCCTCCTTATTCTTCAAAACCCAGCTCCAGGGCCAATTCCTACTGAAATCTTCCCAGTCTGGTGGGTCTGTGAGCGATTTCTATGCTTATACATCTTATGCAGTTTTTGCATTGGTACAGTCTTAATTGTTAAGTTTTATGTCATCATAAATAAACCGGAAGTTCACTGAGGGCAGGGAATGCACTGTTTTCAACTTTATAACTCCTGCACTTAGTGCCCACACAAAACAAATATTAGCCAAACAGATAAATAAATGAGTGGCAAGAGGATTAAATGGAGAGATGGGAGAAAGAAAAACTGAGTAGACTATTTGTGTGATTATGTACTGGGTATGAATATATAGAGTAGTGAGATAGAAGACTCACCTGAACTTGGTTCAAGGCAATCGTGGACACCAGGTTAAATGTTTATTTCAATTTATACATGCTGGGAATGCATGAAGATTTTAAAATATCATTCTAATGCTCAAAGCCTACTTCAAAAACTGATTTGGAGAAAATATATATGAAGAAGTAGAAAAGAGAAAGCCTCAAGGTGAAGGACCAATTGAAGTCTGATGGCAATGTTTCAGGTTTGGATTAATTAGAGCCTGCGCTAGGGAAGTGTTAGTGGGAATAGAAGGGGAGAATCAGATGTATGAAGTATAAGGATTAATCATTAAGGCTGGGTGACTGAGTGGATAAGAGAGGGCAAAGGAGAACGCCAGAGGAACTGGCAGAATGATGATATACTGATAGACAGAGTAAAATTCAAAGTCAGGGGCAAAGTGAGAGCAAGAGATCATTAGTGTTGTTGGAGGCATTATTAGTGGGCATCCAGAAAGTTACTGTTTAAACTCAAATGTGTTACATTAACCCTCTGATTTCAGTTTGGTTCTTTGACTCTCCAATATAGAGCAGAGCCTATCGAAAGAGGGGCACAGAGAAGGGGAGTTTTGAAATAAAGCAGGACGTCAGACCAATGATGACTCCTCTCTATTCTGGTGTCAGCTCTAGTTAGAGATGTGTGGCAGTGATGTGCAGCAGACCATGCTAGCAAGGAAGGACCATGGGAAAGGGAGGGAGGCCTCGAAAGGGAAGGTCAGCGGGGGACCGAAAACAAACTTTATTTTTACTTTCCAACTTTACTGGAAACTGCCAGTCAGGGAACTGCCTCAGGCAAATTCAGAAAAATGAACAACAAATATATTAAACCAATCACTGTTTAGCCTCAGAACATTCTGGGCAAATATTCAGAGATGCCCAAGCATGGAGAAAAGTCAAAGAAGCAATCTATAACAACCCTTTGAGGGTTTTTTCTGCACTTTAATCTTAGAAAGGTAAGTATATGATTGAAAGAGATAGAAAAAAGCCTCAAAAATCTACCACTTATTTGTCTTGCTTTATTAGCTAATAGCAAAATAAGTCTTCCTAGATGGATTATTTTTAGTGCTGCCAGTTTGGAAATATAGACACATGCCTCAATAATTATTAAGCCTTATGGAAAAGGTTCTCCGAAATAAACCTTTGTCATTGTATGGTTTCGAAATTCATTGTTCATTGTATCATCCAGCTGCATAACAAGTGGATACATTAGAAAGTGGGTCATTTATAACTGCCAACACCACCTCCTTTTATTTCCTGTTTGCTAGACCCGGTCCACTGTATCCAGCCTTTAATTTCTTTAGCATTCTACTGTTGCACAGTCGCCTCCACCAAAGAATACCTGTTAGCCCTATTTTCTCCATAAAAATGACCAAAATGGAATAAAAGTGGCATCTTGGATCCAATGAAGAGAAAAGAATTACAATACATTTACAGTTCTGTTGATTGTGTTAAAGGTCTCTCTCAGTTCGTGGGATACATCTTTTTGAAAGCAGATCTACTCTTCTGCATGCCAAACATCTTGCTGGTATTGTTTGGTTCATGTCCCTCTTTCTTTAATACAAGGCATTCTTGTGCAATATGAGTACAGGGGTGCCTAATAATTTTAACTACTTTGCGAGCTGCTCCAGTCTTTCCAAACTGTAAGATACATATAATATAGTTAAATGCCCTTGTAATGAGATTATACAGTGGAACCCTTCCTACTGTTCTTTTACACATAAAATAATTAGGGTCATTCCTACTTTAGGTAAAGACATTTTGCTAAGAAAAAATTGATTTTTATGTAACAGGATCTCTTTGTAGTTTGCTCTAACCAAGATTAGTACTTGTTATAGCAAGTAGCTATTAACTTCAATCCTTCTATAAAAAGATACATTTAAGTAATTACCATTACTACCTTCTTGAGAAAATTGTGTATAATTTAGTCATTTACATTGTATGCACAGAATAATTGGGTACCTGATGAAAATTGTTAACTTGCGTCTGTGCCTCTTGCAGATCCTACCGAGCAGGTGACAATACAAGTGCTGCCACCAAAAAATGCCATCAAAGAAGGGGACAACATCACTCTTAAGTGCTTAGGAAATGGTAACCCTCCTCCTGAGGAGTTTTTGTTTTACTTACCAGTAAGTGCTTCAGGATTATTACTTGAGCTAGACTACTCTCACTCTGTCCTGTTGTCTGGCAGCTGACTTGACATTAAGAATTGTAGGTACTTGGGCAGCTTAAGTGAGAAAGGATGTTATTCTTGGAACCAAAGGGCACATGTGGAATGTCCTTTGAAGGTTTTTTTGGCACCTGCCAGTGCTCTTTCCCTTTTTCTCAGTGTTAAGTGAGATCAGGGACAAAGAGGAAAAGAGCTGATCACAGGAAACCATAATGGTAGAAACTTGAGGTCTCATTATCCCAATGAACTATAAGACTGCTCTTCGGAAGCAGGCAAGTATAAAATGAAGAATGATGACAGCAAATGGTCTGATGTGGATTCTAAATATACCCACAGTGCCTTCGTGAACACATCCCTGAACCTCTGATCTAGGGACATTTCTGTTGTAGATTATGTTCAGCTTGATAGAATAAAGCGACAGGCTGTATCTTACCATCATATGTGGTCTGAAAGAGCCAGTTTCTTAACTTTTATCAATGTCATAGCTGGAAGAAATGATGTCTAGAGAATAATTTGGAAAATTCCTCTAGGATCTGTTCTAGATGTCACAGTGCTGTGGAGCCAGACAAGGAGAGAGCTCTGTCTGAGGGCACTTGCTTGCTCCCCACAGCCTCCCGGGTGTGTGGTTGACATCACCCTCCACTGAGAGAAGCCATGTACATCTCTATACTGCATTGACCACAGGGATCTGTTCACAGATGTTCCCCCACCCCATGCACTGCTCAGTAATGTTTAAGAATATTATCCACTGCATCGCTCAGAAGACTACTCTAAGTGATTCTTTTATACTTAAATGTTGACAGAAAACTTTGTTTCCCTTAATAAATTGACATATTGTTTTTGTCTAATATGCAAATGAAAATTTGAAAATCATTTTATTTCCACTTGGTTATCAGGGATGACAGAGCCAAATATGTGCCTTAGTTTTAGCAACAATTACCTTTTTTGTTAATATATACTCCTGTCTAATCTATATACTTTTTATTCTTAGTTATTAATTCTTTTCTTTTTTCTCTTTTTTTTCCTCTCTTTCTTTCTCCCTCCCTCCCGTCCTTCCTCCCTTCCTTCCTTCCTCCCCTCCTTCCTTCTTTTCTTTTATTTGGATATATGGTATGTTTTCTTTTCAGGTGCCTCAATTCTTTTTGTCAAATTAAGCAAGGGATAAATATAAAAAAAGAAATATTACACATTTTTTTTAAATCTGCTTTAACACTCAAACACAAGCCATACTGTCAATAAAATAGATGTCATCAATACAATGTAAATTAGTGTCTCAATTTCCTTAGAACCAAAATGTCAATTATTTTTTCCAGGAATCAGTTAATATAATCTCTACTCTCATTTGTCCAATCGACGAAACACATTCCCTTTTTTTTTTCTTATCTGAGAAAATGCCATTTTCATCAAGAACTACATCTGTTCTTATTGTAGCTACCAAGTGTAATCATCTGACATTTTGCCTCTATCAAAAGGGACAGCCCGAAGGAATAAGAAGTTCAAACACTTACACATTGACAGATGTGCGGCGCAATGCAACAGGAGACTACAAATGCTCCCTGATAGACAAAAAAAGCATGATTGCTTCAACAGCCATCACAGTTCACTGTAAGTCACTTGATTCTTCATTGCCAACTTCACTTTAAAGGCCTCTCGTGGTCTAACTTGGGCTACCTTTTCAAATAAATTGCAGCTAGTGTTTTTCTTAAATAATATGATTTCAATAGACTTACTAAAAAGCATTAGAGCAAACCCAACTTTAGTCCAGATTTGCACTGCAATATTGAAATCTTGCATGAATCTAATAACTGCAACTTCTGGCAGCAATAAACCTCCATCTTCTTTCTGAATGTCTTCAGTGTGTGGTATCAACAAAATATTCACATGCAGCTTAAAGAAATAACTCACATTTTAAGAAAATATTTAGCTATTCTTGAAGCTTACCAGGTTTGCATTTAGCCCAGAAATTGTAGATTAAGTATCTTTTTTACTTCTAATTACAGAAGACTATTAACACCGAAACCTGATAACAAAAAGTTACTGTAGACTCAGCTTTTGGAGGAGGAGATAGATACCATTAAAAGTCATGTGTTGGCTTCTGTATAGACAGATAGAAAATTTCTGAAAACAGAATCTCTTCAGAATCACCCTGAACATACCTTTCAACCCACTTTTATTCTCCAGATACTCCAAAAGTTATATTTACTCCCATGGACAGAAAAAAAATATACATCGAAAACAGATACTTTACTTAAGTTCCTTATTTGGTAGTTGCTGGCAGTTTCCTGGATGTACCTGATGCATTGTGGAAATGGGGAACTAATTTGAACTGCTCCCTGGTGACACTAGAATACGCAGAGTGCTATGAGCAAATGTCAGTCTTGCTTGGAGCTATAGGACAAATTTCTAATAAGTCCTTTGCACCTAACCACACCTCTAGACATGATCCATTACAATAAGGTTTCTCTAGACATGATCCACTACAATTCCATTGAATATGGGGGTTGGTTTGTTTCAAAATTGAAAGAGATGTTAGAAACTATTCTGAGGAAGTGGTTCTAATTCTGCCCATAGTGCTTGGAAAACATGCAGGATAGGAGCTAAAACTTTGAAGGAGATGCGAGGAGGTGCACTGGGGAGTAGAGCAACCAGATGGTGCTTTTGAGTGTCTGATGTTGGGAGGACACCCTGGGGAGCCCCATGGTGACAGTGGACTGTTAAGAAATATTCACAGCCAGGCTGTTTCTCTGTTTGCTCCATATTCATGTTGAACAGATCTGAGGGTGTCTGCCATCAGGGGCTAGTTAGAGAGAAAGCAGTGACCTCTCAGGGTAACAACTGTGCTCCTTTTCCTCTGAGGACTAGTCATCAGTCATGGGACCATTTATCTGGTCTATTTCATGGGGAAAAAAGTGAAGTGAGGGAATAATATAACCAGCAGATAGAATTGCGTGTGGAATAACTTTCTGATATCATTGTTCATAAGATCTTTGAGCCAATAATCCAGTGCTTAGAGGTAGTATGATAAGCTTGTGGTTAAGAGATGCTAGCTATTCAGGGCCCTAAAGGAAGAGGGCTCTCATTTGTGCCACCTGTGTATCAGGCATGGTGGGAGATAGCAGAAGAATAAGACAAAGAACTTGGCTGAAGCTTCGTAGTACCTCAATGAACTGTTGTGATAAAAAAAAATTAAACCAAAGCATGTTTAATTGAATTTCAGTGCATTTAATTGGATTTAAATACATCCTGGTAACACTGGGCTCTGAGGCCTATGTCACTCTTTAAAACCTGGAATAAGTATTGCAAGTAAAACAAGATCTTACTCTAAATTACATGAAATGAAAACATAAAAATCCACTTTTGCCGATTTATCCTTGATCATGTGTTTGTTTTCTAAAAACAAGATTAGTTTCCTTTCCACAGATGACTAAAGGGAGTAGGTAGAGAAAAACCAACTGGTACTTGCACATGTTAGCAGAGCAGTCCTCTCACCACACGTTCAGCCCGCAGACTCAGAGCTGCTGACCGGGGTCTGCCAGTCCTCTGCCAGTTTACCCTCATGTAGATTCTTTCTCACTGGCAAGTTAACTCTCCAACCAATAAAAGCTTTCACTGGCCTTAAATAGAATTTTCACCTAAATATAATTCAATCAAATCTTTTGAGGAAACGCCACGTTTCTATGTAATGATGCATATTTTAATATTAATGAGAAACCCGCTTCTTCCCTTCATCCATCCAACAGTAGTTTTTGAGGGCCTACAATGTGGCAGGCACTGTGGAGACACAGTGACAACTCAAGTCATAGTCCCTACCCTCATGATGCTGACAGCCTAGCAGAGAGAAAGAACATTAAAAATAATGTTGCAGACAATCAACAAACTGCCATTGTAACATAAAACCAAGGGGAAGCACAGGGTGCGACAGCAAATCCCCACTGCCATAGGATAAAGTCCCAACTCTTAGTAAGGCAACCGCCAGCCTGTATAGTCTGGCCTTTATTACTTGTATCGGTTTATCTTCCTTGTGCTCTAACCATTCACACCAGATTGCTCACCTTTGTGAAATCTGCCACGCGCTCTCATCTCTTTGCCTTTGCTTACGTGGAGAAGTTCTCCTGACATCTCCTCTTATCCAAGCCCTTCTTAACCCTTAGGAGCCACAGACAAATGGTGCCTCCCTTACAGAGCCTTCATTGCTGCCCTGAAACCCAGCCTGCACTCCCATAAGCCCTTGTTCATACCTCTTGTCTGTAGCCCTTCCTCTAGCTTTTCAGCAGACATTTACTGAGTTCCTGATCTATAGCACATTCGCTGCGAGGTGCTGATTTCATGCTGCTGCGTAGTATTGTCACATAGTTAAGTGCGTGTTACCGCTACCTCAGATTATAAATTGTAGGCTCGTTATTCATCTCCTGTCAGTGCTTGGGACATAGTTGTACAATAGGTGTTTGTTCTATTAAACTGAACTCTCCTCATATAGATCATACTATGACAGTAAGATTTTTATAGAAATTACTTTCCATCTGAAAGATTATACCTCCTTAGATATGTTTATATTCTGTTTTTTTTAAGTGATTATCTGCTGACAGTGTACTTAACAATAAATCTGACTTAAAATTTCAACTGCATGAGAAATGGGATAGCATTTTTGAAAAATATCTAGCTGCTATAGTCAGTTCTCTCTGAAGAAACACAGAGACTACTTCATGGTTTTCCAGTTTATCACCTGCTGTCTAAATAGACTTGATTTTCCTGTAGTATGCCTTATCAACTCTTTTTATAATATTTACCTAGTCATCATCTTTCTTTATTTTCTTCCAGAAGTGATTTAAGAATTTTTTTCTTAAAGTAATAGACCCCAGGTGAATATTTACATGCAGTCCAAACATCAATCATGGTAACTGCAAATAAATGTATAATCAATTAGACTGACCGTTCACTTGTCCAAAGTGGTCTCAAAGCTGGCTTGAAAAACTAGACTGATTATGCTACAGTTGAGTTATTTCAGTCACATAAATCACTTCTGAATTTCAAGTGCAGTTGGAAGGATTTTTTTTCTTTCATCTTTATTTTTCCTCCAAAATATTTTGCCTGTCTTACTTTCTGGAGTTTGCATTTCAAGCAGATCTTCTGCTTCACAGATTTGGATTTGTCCTTAAACCCAAGTGGGGAAGTGACCAAGCAGATCGGAGATGCCCTGCCTGTGTCATGCACAATATCTGCTAGTAGGAACGCGACTGTGGTATGGATGAAAGTGAGTAATAGTCCCTGATAATACTCCACTGTTTGGACTGATTCCTTTTTAGCTTCTTTTGCATCATGTACTATATCCAAATATGTATATTCATGTGTAGTATGTTTATACACCCATACTCATACTCCATGTATAGTAATACAAATCATATCACGGCAGAATCTTAGAGGTATGCAGTATCGGTATGGCATTCATAATTGATGCTCTGAAACTTCATTTGGGGCATTAATTTAATTATGTGTAGCTACTAAGTAATATTGTCTTGTATGGATATATAGTTATATACTTTAGGGGTTAACAATTTTCAATGTGTTTTGACCTACAGTGTTGTAAACACAATGTTAGTGTGTTTACATGGGACAATTTATTATTCAAAAGAAGCTGAGGAAGAGAAATCAGAAAGCTCATAAGTGACAGAGTGGAAACTTGAGCTCGGGCCTCACCGAGCAGAAATATGCTGTGTTCTAGTCACATAACTTTCTGCCTTTTTACTGAAACTGATCTTAAGTGTCTGAATGTGGGTTCCACTGAAATAGTAGCTCCTCGAAGGTAGGGATCTCTTTTCACCCCTGGGGCATAGTAGAACACCCGGAACATAGTAGGCGCTTAGTCTGTATTTCCTGGGTGAGTGCGTATGGTCTTGTAATCATCTGAAATGTAGGGCATTACCTGGGAACCCATTGCTGTCTTTTTAGAGTGAGAAAGTATGGCTTGGTAATGGGTGATCTGAGACAAGATTATCACCAAAGGGCCTGGCTGTAACTATGTTTCCCTTCACTCAGACTCTTGGCGAGCATATCTAAACACCCAGTCCATTTATTACGGGAACACGGCATGTAACAGAAACACTTAACCAGTGATGTCTTGACAAAACATATACAAACTGCCTGAAATGGGGGTTGACAAGAATTATCTTCATAAATGATTGTGGAGAAATTCATTGCTAGAGTTTCTTCTTGATGAAAGTATAAATGATCTTGTATTGCTTTTTGATCTCTTTTAATGCTGGGTCCTCTGTTACTTGTTAATTTACTCTTAAGCCTCAGTTTCTTACTTCATGTTCTTTTAACCACAGCCTCATCACAACTTCTTATTCAGTCATAATTAAAGTGTCACTCCATGGGGTGCATATTTAACATGATATATTTATAGTAGTTAGTGGTCAGAAGGCTAGACAAATTCTAGGCATAAGAACACTCAGAGTGTGTTTATTATAAAACTAGAGAAACAGTTTACTTGGCTAAACCAATTTGCACATCAGCTGAAGTCACTGTTGTTAATTGAATATCTAATGTCAGTAGTGCTGATCAGTATTGCCCAGCCTTTGGTTAGTTGATGGAAATGGAGAAGAAATCATAGTGGACATAGAGCACATAATCTCAGAATTGTGTTTAGTTATCTTCTTAGGAGCATTTCAATTCCTGGTAAAACAGCATTATTTTTTGTTTATCAAATGATTTTCATAATTAAATGTTGCATTTCATTTTTTTCATAGAAATTAGGATAATAACCTGTTGTTAAAGGTTTCTTTAAAAAGCATTTTGTCCTAATTGCCATGGCTCTGTAATGGAGCCCCTGTCTTGATAACTGTCTCATATAAAGTGACTTTCAGGTATTTATACCCATCATTGATTATGTAGCACAAGTCTCCAATGTCTGTCAATCCAAGTTCATCTACATTTACTACAAGGAGTAGGTGCTGTCAACAGAGAACTTTACTTAATGTAAACACGTTATATTATTTTACAAATAAAGGAATAAAAATCTCAGAAGTTTACAAATTTGTTCCAAGTTATAAATTCATTAAATGGAAGAGTCAGAAATAAAACTCTGTTATGTCTAACTCTCAAAGTACAAAGTAAAAAAGAAATCTATTTTTGAAAGCATCTGAAGTTAAGTAAAAGAAGCTTTCATTTTCATTAGACCCAAAAGAATAATTTCAGACTTAATTATTATATAATAAATACAGTGAGAGTTATAATTGTGCCATGTGAAGTAATTAACTTTTTATTTAATCAGGATAACATCAAGCTTCGATCCAGCCCATCATTTTCTAGTCTCCATTATCAGGATGCTGGAAACTATGTCTGTGAAACTGCTCTGCAGGAGGTTGAAGGACTAAAGAAAAGAGAGTCATTGACTCTGATTGTAGAAGGTAATAAAATACGTGAGCACCAATTCAAATTTTTCTTTGAGAATTTAAAATCTGCTTTCATGATCTGGGTTCCACATCTTCTTTTAATTGTAATGACATTGTAGGAAAACCTCAAATCAAAATGACAAAGAAAACTGATCCCAGTGGACTGTCTAAAACAATAATCTGTCACGTGGAAGGTTTTCCGAAACCAGCTATACAATGGACAATTACTGGCAGCGGAAGCGTCATAAACCAAGCAAGTATTTGTCTTTTTGTTACGTGCTGTGCTTAGTCCAACGTGCGGTTTTATTTACTTACCTAAACTGTAGGCTAGCTTGTTATCAACATGAGATCTACAGTACATTCTCAGAAGAAGCTCTTACTAACTTCCTAATTTTCCCAAAGGAAGACCATGGCTCAAAGAGAGACTTAAAATACTAGGGCCATGGCAAACGGAAGAATCCTTATGTTGTGGTCAATGTCTGTTTTTTAAAGAATATAAATTAGGTGTTGTTCCATGGTCATTAATTACTGAAACTAGAGTGATGAAAACATTATGGTGTACACTTTCCTACCTCATGAACTTCCACATCTGAGCATAAGTGGCCTCACTTATACTTTGCTCACTTATACACATTAAGGGACATTTAATCCTGAAACTGGGCTCTGGGGTGTGGGGAAGAACATAGTCACTGTGAACATATGGTCTGACTGGTGTGTGCCAGGGCCCAGGCCAGAGTAAGGCTAGCTAAATATGCAGTGTCTAGGATGGTTCCTGCTGAACAAAGTATGCATGAACCAAACAGTAATATTTGTACCTCTGTCACAACATTTTAGTGGTAGTAAAGGGCTAAGAACTCATGAACACTACCAGTAATTTTCTTTTTGACAAAAAAAAAAAAAGAAAAAGAAAAAGAAAAAGAAAAAAATGAGAATCTGGCCTATAACTAACTGTTCAGAGCTGTAATCCCATTAAATTGCTGGTCAATAAAAAAGTTGTGGTATATATATACAACGGAATACTACTCAGCAATTTAAAAAAATAAAATAATACCATTTGCAGCAACATGGATGGAACTAGAGATCATCATTCTAAGAGAAGTAAGCCAGAAAGAGAAAGAAAAATGCCATATGATATCACTCATATGTAGAACTGAAAAAAACAAAAAAAGACACTAATGAACTCATCTACAAAACAGAAACAGACTCGCAGACATAGTAAACAATCTTATGGTTACTGGGGGTAAAGGGGTGGGAAGGGAAAAATTGGGGAGTTTGAGATTTGCAAATATTAGCCTAGTGGCTATATAAAACTAGATTTAAAATAACAAATTTCTTCTCTATAGCACAGGAAACTATATTCAATATCTTGTAATAACCTTTAATGAAAAAGAGTATGAAAATGAATATATGTATGTATGTGCATGACTGGGACATCATGCAGTACACCAGAGACTGACATATTGTAACTGACTATACTTCAATAAAAAGAAAAAGGAAAAAAATTGCCAATCAGCTCAGGGTACTGACATACTTATTAATTCCATTTTCCCTACAACAGTCTTCATGACCTTATTCTCAGTGGAGCCACTTAAAAACTCTTCAGGAACACCTAGAGGTGCCATTTGGTTATTTGAATCTTCTGTGCTGCCTTCTTCCCAGCTTTGGACCCAGTTGATATCTGAGAAGTCATGCCTAAACCAGAGTTGCAATTTCAAGTTAAAATGCCCACTCTTTCTCTGTCCAGGGAAGTTGGGCCACTGGTCCAGCTTATACAGTGCAGCTTTGCAGAGCAAGGTGAATTTTGGCTCTTTCACCTATGGGTGGGGAGATGTATTTGCATAACTCCAGGGATGGAAGGTCCCCAAAGGAGTGGACACACCTGAAGCAAATGCCTCCTGATTTGGTCATGTGTGATGGGGACACACAAGCCACAGAACATGCATGAGCAGGGTGAGAAGGCCCCTTAACACCAAGGAAATGCAGTTTTCTTGAGTTAGAATAAAGACCTGAACCACCTGAATTGCTAACAATGTACAGATCTATTTTTTAGCATCAAACATGACTGTTTCTCTTCTCCTCTATTCTTTTTGCTATCTAGTTTAAATAAGTAATAATTACAGCAAAAGAGAACCTTTTCGTATTGGTAATGAAAACGGAGAAAATAGAAAAATAAATAATCAGTCAATGAAAAGATTCAAAGATTTAAAAGGCCATCCTAGAAATGAGCATATATTTTGTAGGGATAAAAGTAACAAAAACAAAAACTCGTGAGAAAGTCATATGAAAAATACTAGTGGAAAGTGGAAAAATGGCAGGTGAACTTACTCTGGATAAAAATAATAATGCCATTCTTCATTGTCAAGGAGAAGGATTGATTCTGGCCCACTAGGTGATATGTTATTTTTCTTGTCCTAGGTTTGTGCTGATCCATCTATAATCTTTTATTTGTTGCCTCCTCAATCACATGGTGAATCTATTATTTCACAACTACTGATACTTCTGCCCCGCCCCTGCCCCGGGTATCCCTAAGCGGGATGCTCTCTCCTGTCCTCAAGGCCTGTACAACGCAGTTGAGGAGAAAGCAGAGGACAATACAGGATGTGGTGCGTGCAATATGACTGAAAAAGGAATGAAAGTGCGTGCTTGCGTTAGTGGAGGTGGGCTGAGGAGTCGAGTCCTGGCGGAGAGATTACAGTGAATTGTCTCTTGGGTTTGCAGGAATTAAATGGCAGTGATTGTCCTCATTAATAGTTCACAAAAGCCGAATGAACTTACCAGTCACTCAAAAAGAACCCATCCTCTGTATTTAACTCAAGAAAATTATGGAAAAAATAGTCCGATTTTTCCCATGGAAAAATCAGGCCTGCCTGTGCACTTAGATATCACGGTTTCAGATAAAGGAATTCACCCCTGCGGTGAAGAACAATGACACAGTTGACAAGTAGAATCGAATTCATAAGTTTATTAGGAGAAAACTGGTGACAAGTTAGTCACTAATTAATTATTTTGAGACAGGTACTACATGCCAAAATATTAACTAACCTGAGCATCTATTTGAAAGAGTTTAATTAATTTAATTATTAGAATTAACAATAGAAGCATAAACAGAAATCCAATTATGGCTTCATTATTCTTTTTCCTCCCTGTTGTACTTATAAACCTCAGCTGACCTTACCTATAACCTCACGTGTACCCTTGAATGCCAGCTCGCATGACAGAACGCCGCATCTACCCTATTTCACTCACTATTACTCTTTCCCATGTTTTCAGTTCATTTCCATTTCTAAATCTATTTTCCTTTTCTGTTTTCAGACAGAGGAATCTCCTTATATCAATGGCAGGTATTATAGTAAAATTATCATTTCCCCTGAGGAGAATGTTACATTAACTTGCACAGCAGAAAACCAGCTGGAGAGAACAGTAAACTCCTTGAATGTCTCTGCTAGTGAGTATTTCATTTCTGGCATTAAAAAAAAAGTAAGAAAATTTGAAGTTATTCTTCATTAGTTTAAAATCTTCAGTTCCATCTTCCTGTACTGCATTATGGTAAGTTTTATTTATTTATTTTGCATTTGGTATCATCATCATAAGGTTCTTTTCTTTTTTTCCTGGTGTCCATTGTGCAATCCTTGTCTTGACAGTTAAATCATTTCATGTGTTATGAGTCAGAGATTTTATCTTGTACAGGAATATTGCCCAAGATCAACAGAGGATGAGACCTGAGTTCTTATTTAATCCAAGTTTTATGTTCAGAGTATAGATAATTCAAAGAGTATATTAAAACATTTATGTAACAGTTTTAAGTTTGAAAAAATGTTTAATTCCCTTTAACCTACTATTTTGCATTTGAACTCTTTGTAGTATTTATCCTGTTCTTATTTTGTATAGGAATGCCACATGCTTAAAGTCATTCAGCAAATTGATAGCAAAACTGATATTAGAATTTATTAATTCTAGTTTCAAAAGTTGATGCTTTTGAATATTATGTTTGAATCATAGATTAAAAAATGAAACAAATGAGATTATCTCAGAGAAAGTAATAAAAAAATTTGTCGGTGCTAAAATCAAAGTATGGATACCAATAGGAGTTTCTTCTGAAAACAGTTTCATTTAATTTGAAATTATCTCTCATCTTCAATTTTGTAATACTTCCTATTGCCATGCCAGCCATAAATCAGGGCTAGCCTAGACTGACACTCAGTGCCGGACAGGATGCTAACTGACCCTCCAAACTTCTATTCTTCAGTTCGTGGAAATCCTGTATGTGACACAGTATAGAGATATACTGGCTAGGAATTAGTGGGAGCTAGGAAAAAATGATTGTCTAAAGATAATAGTCCTTAACACAATATGACTAGAATATAAAAACATGTTGGATTGACAGGAGGAAAAAACCAAACAAATTTAACTCTAAAATAGGAGCATTGACTTCTCTGAATTCAATTCAGCGAGTATTGATTTGTCCTCCCAAGAAAGAGAACTTATCCTTTCTTCCTGAACACGTCTCTCTTTATATTCTAGCTTGTTGAATAGTGGTTCTCTAGACCATGCGGTGGCATGATCAGCATTTAATACTGTCATTTTCAAATTCAACGAGCACCTCCTGAAATTCTAACATAGTATGTATGAAGAGGGGTTAGGAATTGGCATTTAACAAACATCACTGGTAAAGTTCTGATGCAAGCCTTTTTGCATAGAAGAATATTTATTTAGTTTAATATTGTATCCTAATCCATCAGAGTGGCAAATCTTAAAGTGGCCAAGAACATGGAACTATCAGAGTCATTTGGGGGGCTTATACAAGCATCATATATGTTGTCTGCAACATCCCCAGTTTTAACCTCCACCCCACCCACTTTGACAGTGTCTCTAGTGGTAAGTCCCTGACACTAGAGGATGAAGATGAATTCTCCACTGAGGCAGGAAGATTGGAGAAAAGTTGAGAAATACTACATTGTAGATTTCATATGTTGCAACTTGCTTCTCTCAAAAAAGTCCTATTAGGAGGTGGTAGATAGTGGGAAAATTAATATGGATTTCAGATTAACACTATAGCTTGTCAGTTGTGAAATTTTCTATGGTAGGTTAATACATCTGCAGTTTTAACTACTCTCCTTTCTTTAAAACAAGATTAATTTCTTTGTAGGGAAGTTCACGCTCTATTAAATGTAAATTTTTTTCTACCCTTAGCCGTAGAATAGATATTTTATCTTTGAGTATTATTACATCATACTATAATGGTAAAGGTGACTTTCATATATCAACAAATTTTGTTTTTAATTTCATATTAACATTTTTCATTTCAGTAAGTATTCCAGAACACGATGAGGCAGACGAGATAAGTGGTAGGTACTACACTGCCGACTCTTCTTCCTTGACTATCAGCTCAAGATTTATGAAGTGTCATTGTATAAGTAATTTTCTTAGCTGCCGCAATTTTGACTCAAATTAAAATAGCAACTGAGACAAGATAGTAACAGTGCTAAAACGTTAATCCTTTAAAAGCACAAGTTTGCATGTTACTCTCAGTAGTGAGCCTTAGTCATTTTTAATAAGAAGTAATAATTAAGATTGACTTCTTTTCAGAAATCCTTGGCGTTGTCTGTAATTGCACGGGCTTTTCTTCTTTGTTGTAGATGAGAACAAAGAAAAGGTGAATGACCAGGCGAAGCTAATCGTGGGAATCGTTGTCGGTCTCCTCCTCGCCGCCCTCGTTGCCGGTGTTGTCTACTGGCTGTACATTAAGAAATCAAAGTAAGTGGTAGAAAAAAGACCTTCACTGTTCACTGACTTTCACTGGGAGAAGATACAGTGTGTTCCTGGTGCTCATTTCAGCTGGGCATGTAATTCCTATAACAGGAGAGACATGCCCCCCGAATCAGGCTCACCACATTTTGCCTTCAGTTCAGCGTGACTACATTGTCAATACTAGGGACATGGCTTGGAGTGATTTCACACGTATCCCCTTATTTTTCTCAGTCAATAATCTGAATTCAATTGTTTGATTTTTTTTTTCAATGCTTAGGTAGATTTTTTTAAAAGTCCGTAGTGCCTTAAAGTCAACCATTTGGCTTAGGATGGTGGAAATAAGTTACAGTGGCTCTTCCGTCCTGCAGAGATGGCCTGGTGTCTCTGCAGTGACAGGTCTGGCCAGCAGGGACACTGCTGCTGAGTTAGAGCCACCTTGTTGTCACTGCTTCTCTGTTCTATTTAGGTCACTTCGTTCTGTAGAAGAATCCAGTTCAGAGAAAAATTCATTATTATTTTGCCTTGAATTTCTTAAAAATGATTAGACAAAATATCAGGATTACTTTAAAAGTGATTTAGACAGTGTTTAAAGATTATCAGTCTTAAAATAATACAGATTAGTATCAACCTTACAATCATCTAACAGTGGTTTGTAATGAAAATACAATTAATGAATATTCTTAACATACACGTATGCCTGGTACTCCTGATTGCCTCAGCTCTGACCCTAGGTTCAGATGCAATTGGACAGAGATGGGGTTTCAGCATTGCATCTTTTTTAAGTTCCACTGGTGATTCTGCAGTGTACCCCTGGCTTCAAACATGGGTTTCAAACTTCCATATCTTACAAATGAGGAAATTGATTTTGCAAGAGAATGTGTATAGCTAGTGGCAACTTTGGACTTTATATTTTCTTGATGTCTGAACCCCTTTCAGCAACTCAGGTATGTTAACTTAAAAGCAAAAGAAAAAGCAGACACAATCAGGTTCACAATCTCACCCTGTAAAGTTAGAAATTTCAATGAAGTAATATTCAAATGGAGCTGCCATCCGAGGGAGGCAGTAGCTCCGAATTTTTGAAGTCACGTGATGTGACCCTGTGTTGGGTTCTGTTTTGTTCTCACAGTTCATCTCTGAAGTAGATGCCTGTACTGTACATATTTTACCTTGGAGAAAAGCTATGGCAGACGATGGTTAAATGACTTGCTTAAGGTTACACAGTGGCATGGGGCAGTACTGCATTTGATGTAAGGCAGTGCTGTTTTAGAGTCTTTGTGCCTCATCACTAGTTCTTATTTTCTCTCACTATGCCTTACTTTTTCTCTTTTTCGGTCACATAAGGCTGCTGTGTGTTGTAGTTGAGGTACCTGTCCACTCTCACACTGAGGCACGTTCACGTCAGATCTTGGCACTTCAGTCCTTGATCTTGAGCAGTTCCCACTATCACTTGACAACAATTGTGTTCTTTTTCTCAGTGAGTATTTTACCAACAAACACTTCATTTTGGCCTGTGTCCACGGTTTCTGTGGAAAGTCGAGAAGACTGCCTGTACAATGGAAAAGAAAGGAAATGCAGACCATTGTCCCGAGACAGCATCTATCTTAGAGAAATTCTCCTTCTATCTGTATGTTTCCTAATTATCAAAATCTTATCCTTCCTTTATAATCCACAGTAAGGCGCTCATAAATCTAACAGCTTGGGCTCTAGGGTATTTCTGTTTTCATTATTTAGGGTTTCTGATGCACTCCAAAGTAATTTCATTTCTCAAAAGAATGAAAATGACATTTCTCTGCATTCTGGAATTTAGCCAAAAATTAACAGCAGTTCTCTACGTTATGATCAAATGAATGTTACAGTCTTGGAGCTCCCCAACAATGCCCTTAATCATTCTGTTCTGATTGCCAGTATCTCATCATACCCCATTTGTCCTTCTGTGAATAGAAAAACAAGTGTGTGTGTATGTGTTTGGTTACTTCATTGGTTTATACCACATGATGACCCAAAATTAAAATCATGGGTAAATAAATGCTGGACACTTCACTTCATAGTGTCTTTAGGTTAAGGGTTAAGATTTCATGCATTACCTTTAAAGTACCTCATTAAATTAAGTGCATATTTTACCATCTGACTTGAACATTTGTCTAAATAACTGTTATTTAATTGAAAAGGGCACCAACTTTGCTAGAGTTTATCTTATTGGTAATCAAAGGAATAAATTGCAAATCTCATCCAAAGCATCCGTGTCTTTATTAAGAATTTGGGGAATTCTTCAGATTTGCTAAGAGCTTTACATTCCTGACTAGTTATTCCTTCTAGTGCCCTCTGAGATAAGCCAGCATTTTTGCTGCATTAGTTATTGTTAATCCCTGTGTCCAGAGTGAGTGCAGATTCATGATGAGAGCTTTCAGGTTAAGAATTATAAGGCCATTTTAAGGTCCACTAATACTCTTTCTTTTCTTCTAGATAGTAACTTAAACTTTACAAATCAATATGAGGGTTTCCTTTCTATCGTTAGCTAATTTATCACCCTGTTACATGAATATGAGATTTTTTAAAAAGGTACAGTCCAGACTTTTCCCCAAGATACCTGAAGAAGTATATCCCTGTGTTTACTGTCCTGAAAAATAATACCATCAACAATCTTCATGAGTCACCCATTATTGCAAACCACTTTCAGCGACAATTAAATTAGGAGTCAAACATTGTATTTAAATGCCTCAGTGATACAGCTAGCAAAGCAGTGAAGTTAAAGCAACATTTAGGGGGAAGTTCTTTTGCATTGGCAATTTAAAAACTCTGTAGAGAGACATGAGAGAAACAACCTTTTGTGCCTAAGCAGAATGTAAGAGTATGTTTGTTGACATACCCAGTGGCTTCAACTACCATGCACTCCCCATTCCATTCATATGAGCTATACATTTTGTATCTATTTTAAATATGGAGAACCACAGCAAGAAATGCTTAGCAGTTGTGCTTGACCTTGTGATCTGGGATATTCATTGCAGACTAAGGACTCATGATTCCTTTGCTGCTGTGATTCGTATAACTTCTCACTGGAAGTTTTTTTTTAATTTGAGACTTTTTTGATAATGAGAATGGATGACTCTGATCATTTCCCCTGTATGTAGGGTATTAACTGACAGTTCCTGGGAAAAAGGCATTAATTGAGTAAACCCAATTCATGTCTAGTTGTTTAATAGATGAGAGACATTAAAGAACTAGAGATAATTCAATGACTTTTTTAAATTATTTATTCCATTTCTTTCCATCCCATTCTCTGAACATTGTTTTTATATCTGCAGGAAGTTAAACATAACTGTTTGAGTTCTAAATCCTCTCCTGCATGTCTCATAGTACAAGAACAAATGAAAAATTAAAAGAGCCAAAGATAAAGGAAAAATGTAAGGCAGCATGATGTAGCCTCAGACGTATTCAGAAGTGTATTAAAACCATAATTTTAAGGTTGGTTGCATTTAAGAGACCCCTGAGCAACACACTTCTTATCACTAAACCCGGAGTAAGCATTAACCAGACATTTGTAATCTCAAAATACATATTGTGTGTGAATCTTGGAAATTTACTAAGAAATTTCTCTTTTGCAACTGTGGACTCATGACTATTTTTGTGAAGTTATTGTGTAATATATAGACAATATGGAAGCTGAAAAATCACACATATCCTTTGTCAGTTCTGCTTTTTATAATGCTATACTCTAACACCACTGTCTTAGGAAAAAACAGTCCTAAGTTGGCAAAGGGGACTTGCCTATGACCCCCAAACTTCAAGAAACACTGTAATATTAAGCCTTTCTCAAACCTTTCTCATTAGTATCTATTAGTATATATGGAAGAGGATCTTGCAAAAAAAAAGTTGATTTTAACCGAATTCCATTTCCAATCAATATTCACTTTAAAATCAAGTGTACATTCCCATGAAAGAAGATGGACTCCTTGCTGAATAAATTGAAAAGATAGTGCTGAAGGGCATTTATAGCACATTTTTAGTGACTTTCTTTGTTTATTACTACATACGCATCTTTTCCTCGTTTTGTTCTTCTACTGAAATCCTGAAAATGTAATGAGGTAAATTTAATTAACCATGTTTCATGTATCTAAGTCTCAGTGAGAATAACCTGCCCAAAGTAACAAATGGAGTATCTTATTCCATATCTCGTATATATTTTTTCCTGCCTCACCAGGACTTCTTTGGAATTAAAATTTCATCTCTGACTTTGATTGCCTGCTGGCATTTAATATAGTGCTAGGGATGGAAGAGTGTGCATTAAAGTGCAGGGCTAATGTGGCCTCTCCCCTTCTATTAGACGTCCGGCTAATCCAAGTTCTGGCTTGCTTTTCTTCCCTACCCATAGCCTGGCAGGCAGCCAGAAGAAGGAGGAAGAGAAAATGCCCCATTATTCTCTCCAACCATAAATAACAGAGTAGACTATAGGGGAAACAAGATAATGTGTAAATGCTGGAGTCCCCCACCCCCGTTCAGTAAATCACAAGGTCATTGGCCACTCAAAGGGCAGAGCCACCCATGGCCCTCCCCTCTCCTGCTACATGTGAACTGACACATCCCCAGAAAAAGGACTGAACATCAAAACATAATGTTTCCAATTGTTATCTCTTCTAGCTGTCTGTACATGTGCATTTCACTTTTTTCTTTTATTTCAAGTGTTCGTTTGAGTTATTGTTTCAAAGGTGAAGGGAAGTTCTGTCCCTCCAGCACCTGCCTTCGCCCAGGCTGTGTTACCACCCACCTTACGGGACACTTTGAACCGCGATGCTGAGCACATGCAGGTGGCATCCTGCTTTCATGCGTGTTCAGTACTGTTACATTTATTTTGATCCTCTAATCCTTTGCATAATGGTGGTTCCCACATTTACTATTGGCCTAAATGAAAGGCCATTTTCTATTTTTTACTGAGGACATAAGGACTCCCTATTTTAGTGGGGAGTTTCTTTGGAGAGTCTTAGAAACACTCAAGGTATCAAACTGAAACT